TAGTGAAGGTTCCAAATAGTTGTAGCATATACTAACTGGTATTTTGGAACAGAAACAATGAAGTTGCCACAACACTCAGATCTGGAAGAATATAAGAAAAGTGGAAATGAAACCCACAAACTTTAATATTATCGTATAATATCTTTTCTTAAAATAATAGGAGGTGTGTTACGTTACTGAAAACCAAAAGGAATAGTTTTTTTATAATAAAACATAGTAAATCAATATTATTTTACATTAAATAGTGAACCCAGTGAATGAATCAAATTTAAGATTTTAAAAATAATACAAAATCATTTAAAATGATAATTTAAAACAAACATAGACAATATTAATTACTGTCAGTTGCTATCTATTATAATACACCACTATTATTGTTTGAATTTTTATTTTAAATTTTTTGATTTTAAATTTTTATTGATAAAATAAAATATTGTAGTAGATATTATCATATTCCCAAAAACACAAATATCATAAAAATCGGTTCACCCGTTCTCGAGTTATGAGCTAACAAGCCATTTTATATCATGCTTTATTTGTACTTACAGCATCATAGGTTATATACCAATGAGCTGATTTGATTAAAGTATGTTAAGTGTGTGACAATTATTAAAATAAATGTTTCTGTTTTCCCAAATTGTTAAAACTTAATGAAAAATATTGTAATTTGTCATATTAGCGTGTCGCTGAAATAAAAATCATCCAAAAAAGCCAAAATTAAATCCCGTCATATAAAAATTATGTATTTAGGTACTATCAGTATTAATGCTGATCACCACAATGAAAGTAAATATTAATTTCTGTAAATATTAAATAACTAAATTCTTTAACTTCAAACCAATTACATTTTTGTATCATGAACGTAAAATGAAAATTTAAATACCATAGGTAGTACATTTGTATTACAAGCATTATTTATTGTTTAAACTGAAAACTTGATTTATAGGTACATTTAATTAACAAATACACAGAAATCGTGAAATGACCAAAATATTACTGCAAATACCGAAATGACATTTCTTAGAATCGCCTATGTTTATGTTTGCGTCTCATCATGACCAATAAACTATCGATAAAACATATCGAAGACTGCACTCTAGAACTGGTTATCCTTTAAAAAGCACGCACATAATGATAGTTCGCTGCGAAACAGTCTTGTTACTAAAAACAACTGCGACCTCGTTCGTCACCGGCTCCGACGCAAAAAACATACGGAACCTTGCACGCAAAGGGCGCGTCCTCGATTACAGCGGCAAGGTGTGCACATTGTGTATTTCAACTCAAAAATAAAAACCGGTGCAAGTTTTAAAGTTGACAAAACAATTGTGACTTATATTATTCTTTATCTATTAATTTAGGTTAGTGTCTGGTCTCTTATTGTATTATATAATGATAAAGGAAAATCGTTTAATTAATCAACAATCGTTGAATGTAAAATTCGGGTTGAAATGTGGGATGAAAGTTGGGAAAAATTAAACAACTAATACCTTAATAATAACTACAATTAGACGTAATTTTTTAAGTGCTCAAGTAATATCTAAACACTTAAAAAGTTACTATACTACACGGACGAATCGTGGACTAAAGTTAGTACAATATATTACTACATGATACTTGACGCAATTAGCGATTTTGATTAATTTCATACAAGATCTTTAACAATTTTTTCATATTTTCAGCAGTTAAAATTTATGTAGTTCAAATGAAATTCTATTGTGTGATCACATAAATAACTTATTAAGTTGTGTGACCCAAATGGAAAATATAATTTGTCCATTCTTTCGACTCCCTGTCCGTCCGCTGCTACCGTAACTGCACGTTTTTCTCGTCATCAATACTGCATCAGCCGTCGAGCGGCTTTTCTAAAGTCCTTGAAGCATTCCGTCACGCTCGATTGTCCTCTTTCATTGACTGTTTGATAATAAAAATGACATCGAATTATGTAAATGGTCATTGTCAAGAAACATCCAGGTACATTCTTTTCGTGCCGAAATGCAAAATAAACTTATGCACAGAATTAAATCATAGCATCTATTTAATGAAAAATGCTTAAAAATTAACCAGCCCCAGGTAACCCGAGATGGGGAGTAACAAATGCTTGAAAAATTCTGCAGTCCTGTTGGGTCTCTGATAGCTTAATGGTTAGAGCAACCGAAAGTTTGTGAGTCGAATCCTATGTCGGGGAACCTGAGGTTGGTGGATTTTTCAAGCATTTTTCATTACAAAGATATTTATCATTATAGCATCGCAAATGCAAAATTGATCAAATATAATAGATCTAAATTCATTCTGTATATGCTCAGTGTTTTCAGAATAAGGTAGTATTCAATTTTCATCTATTTAATGTATGTCAATCCCGCGATTTCGACGCTGTGTCCTATTTAATTATTACATTTTTTCTACACTCGAAAACATTAGAAATATAAATAAATATAAAAATCAGAATTTTGACACTTATTTTACGGAAATCTGTAAAAAGATATAAATAATTCCGTTATCATCTCTTATAATATATAATCTCTTAAAATAAAAAGGGGAAATTATTGTGTTAATTCTCTAAATTATAAAAGCATTCATTTAATTTTTTCGATTGATTTTAAAGTTATTCCGCAATATCTTACCTTTATGCTTATAATATAAATTAAACTGTAAAAAGATTATGAAAAACAATTATTTTATGTTCGTTGTAACTTAACCGCAAACAGCGCGTGACGTCACGACCCTCTCACTCATATCAGGACTTAGAGAATTCAATCTTACGCATAAACAGAATGATATTCGTTTCAGAGTGCCGTGACATCATAACGCCGCCATGACAGAAGTGGGGTTTTCGCGGAAAATTATGAAACTTAAATTTATTTTTACTTTAAAAATAAAATTGTCTACACCTCTATTGCATTGCAGCCACCATGTCGACTGTTAAATTTTCGTTAATCGTTTGGTTTATTGCTGATTCTATTCCGTTTACATCTTGATAAGAACTTAGTGAAAATGGCACCTATTCTATGAATAAATGGCTACTTCGTTACTTCGATTAAATAGACAAAACTCATGTCTAACCATATTTCTTTTTTATTTATGAGAACAAGACCTCTAACTTATTTATTAATAATGTAATTATAGTTTTGTGTTATTTCTATTTTATGTATACAATAATTTATGAGTATCTCATCAAAAATATATTAATACTAATAACAACAACAAACCGTACGTTTAGGTACTATATGTTTTGGGAACATTCCAAGGTCAATATTCTCAATACTTTTTTCCATTGCATTATGTAGCTCGGTGGCGTAGTGGATAAGCGCTGCGGCCCGCGATCGTTGTCGTTAAGCAACTTTCGCAAGGGTCGGTCACGGGATGGGTGACCAAAAAATTATTATCTCGGGCTACTCCGTGCTTCGGAAGGCACGTTAAGCCGTTGGTCCCGGCTGCATTTGCAGTCGTTAATACCTCCAATCCGCATTGAGCCAGCGTGGAAGGTCATGGCCCATCCTCTTTAACCATCCATAAGGAAGGCCTGAACCCTTGCAGTGGGGACATAAAAAGGCTGATGATGTATGTATGTATGTATGACTTAAGTACAAATAGACATATAATACGAATATATGTACAAATTACATAATTTTTATTCATTTAAAATTACATCGGCCATAGTCTCTTACTATACTCTTCATTGAAAATGTAATGTATTTACTTACCTATTATGGTTTAAAAGATGGCAGACAGACACTATATTCTTAGATTTACTTTAAATACCAAACTCTTAAATCTCAGCGCACGTTAGCAAGAAAAATTTTTTTAAGAAATTGTTAAAAGAACTATTATAAAATAAAGAAGTACCCAAGAATTCAAACAACAACAATGAAAGTCCTGCTCCGTTATTGTAATAACAAAGAAAAGAGATGCAAATTAATGTTGGACTTAATGCCTCGAATAGAAAGAGAATCTTTTAAAGCAACCGATTCATAAGACTTACGAGTAGTTTTCAAACGACTTCAAAAAACGAGGAAGTTATATGTTCGACGGCGCTTACTTTTTCTATATACATGTTATGGAAAAAAACATATTTTTGACAATTGTTGACCTATTTTCAAAATTATTTTTTTATTCGAACGAGGTGGCCCCATTTCAATTTAATCCAATGCAAACAAACAAACAATTAAATCTTTCCACTTTATAATATGAGTATAGATTATTGAAAAAAATAATGTCGAGCAAATGAACAAAATCTCTTTTCCTAAGTCCTTTCAATGTGTTGAATATTTTTATATAAATACATATTTATTATTTTTATTGTTAACTATTAGATAAAAAAAATGTTATCATCACTAAAAAGCATGAAATAAAAACTTTTTCCAAATATTAGAACCGACTTCAAACTTTAAAAAAGAGATCAATAATACTTATCTCAAAAGTGACTTATTCAAGAAACTTCTTTTGAAATCAGGCAGAGGTTTTCTGTATTATTGTGTTAATAATTGATAGCCGCCCGATTATGTTACTTTGTTGTTATATGTATCGATGATTATACAATATTTATTGAAAAATTAGCTTTCCACCAACAGCTTTAACCGAATGGTCCTGTATCATACATTTAGATCTTCCTCTTGAATCACTGTAGTACATTGATGAAAGCCGCGTTAAAATCCATGGTGTTTAAAGATCTCAGCGTACAGACAGCGGAAACCATTTTATTTTATACTATGTATATAATGGTACATACAAACATAGACCATAGATATACACACGTAGAATAATAACACACGCAACAAAGAAAAATGAACTTATTCCATTTTTATTGAAATGTTATATCTAGATAATATGAAGTTACTTTTAACAGATAAATTTGATTATATCAGGCTTAGTTTACGGATGTGTAGGTTCAGTATCTATATGAAAGAGATGAATTTATGTACCTATTCCTTTATGCATTTAAATTGTACCTCTTCAATTCATCTATCAGATATAGAATAGGTTTATCATTTATTCTGTAAATTATACACAGTTGGCACTTAGTATATGCGAAAGTAATTTTTTATGGGTTTTTTCCATATACGTCAATGTATTGAGTCATATATTTGTTAGCTTAATGGCATACGTCATCATGCAATACTTCACTGCTTCCAAATCAATATATATGAGTAGCTATAAAATCGCCTTTTTGTTAAATTTCATTTTTTTTCTGCATTGTATAAATATTATTAATGTATGAAATGATTAGTAAGTATACAACAACAGCAATCATTGTTAACGGAAAAATAAAAAATAAACTTAATTTCCATCAATTTCTGTTTTATTAATTACTAAAAGACTACAATTCTAAAAACTCTATCACTCTGACTGAGAGCTGGTGGTGAATTCTATAAATAACTAAAACGGATTGTGTGTGGATATAATCAGATATGGATTTCTTATTAATTGGAATTATCTTTGTATACCCAGTCTATATTTTCTTTTTTGCACAAAAGCTTAGAATAAATTTCTTTTTTCGCCCTTCCTTATTTAAAGAAACATCGGTCAACATTACATAATGAAATTTAAATTTTGTGTTGTATAAATAATAATCTAATGAAGCGAAAGATATAATTTCAATGATTAATGAACCGGCGTTTTGATTTTTTACAGGTACCCCTTCAAAATGGGAAAAGAAGAGAAGAAAGGGACGATTGTATTGGAAAATTTTAATTCCACGTAAGTATATAAATCTATCAACGGTTCTCATATTTTTTACGTTATTCATCCCATCCCATTATTGTAGCGTGCTATAAAAAGTCGCTCGGTATAATGGTGGCGTAGTGGATATGGGCTGCAGACCACGACCGTTGTTGTTAAGTAACACGTTGAGCCACGGGCCAGCGTGGAGGGTGGCCCACCCTTCTTAACCATCCATAAGGAGCCCCAGCAGTGGGGATGTATAAGGGCTGATGATGATGATGGTGAAGAATTGGAGCTCGGAGCATCATTCGCTGGGAGTTCGTATCGTTTTGTGCGTTAACTTTCGAATAGGTCGATCATGAGATTTGTAATCTTGAGCTAACTAACAGTTGCAGATGCGGGACTAACCGCATCTGCAACTGTTAGAACCCGTGAATCCACATTGGGCCCGCGTGTTATGTTCATATTTTAGATCCTATATGTAAATAAAAGATGACGGCAACATTTCGAGAAAATTTGTGTCTATTTATTTCGATGTTAAAAACACTTGAAACTTTATATTTAGGCTACTGGTTAAAAAATGAGTGAATACCCGTTCCAGTGTTTGTGAAAATTCTAACCCTAAAGAGTTGACCCAGAAGTTGAGTGTTTGTATAAAAGATAATCATGTATTACACGTGAGCAAAGCAGCTGGCAGAAAACTAGTATGATATAGTATGAGATTATGATATAATACCTAATTAATCTTACTATGAATAATAAGATCGATATAATGTAGTGTGCCCTATTATAGAATTGGATCAGTAGAATAATATCGTGAACAGATTAACGCTCCATGATATATATCATTATATTATAATTCGGATAATAAACTATTAATATACTGAAATATTTTAGACGCTATTGGTGTTTACACAATTTTTTTTTTGCATTACATTTTTTGTCATTTGTTTGTGATATTTTTAAACTATTTAAATTATATTTTTATATAAATATACCTTAAACGAGTTTCAAGCATTACTTTCATTTTATTTAGTACTAAATAATAACAATCTTTTAAGTGTTTCTTTTGTACAGGATACAAGAAAAATTTGTGGTCTGTTCTTAAATAAAATATTGTGTTGTGATGAATCATATTCACGTATTTTTTCTTTCTATTTCAAACTCTAATACTGAAGATAAAATGTGATTTAACTACTGTACACAGAAGTCGATAACTGTTTTTTGTCAATACAGGTTTTTTTGCTTATAGTTAGTTGACTACTATCGAAACTGAACATGAAATTTAAAATAAAAATTATATTTTATCAATATTTTATTCACAGTGATATAATGGAAAATATTCTTAATGAAAAATGCTTTAAAAAAATACTCGGATAATATTGAAATGTGAAGTAATAAAAAGTCTACTATCTTTCCATTATCCGTACAAACTGTAGGAAAAAGTCTATGTACTAATAACCCATTTTTCGTGTATGATAGATAGATAGATGATTGCATGCACTGAGACAATATTAATACAGGACACTGATAAATCTCAATCGGAGTCTTTTTATTTTAATTAATTAATAAATTTTGTAAAAACAGCAAAACACTGGTGCACAACACTAAATGTCTATATGTCACCACATGACTCAACCGGCATCTCTTAAAACGTAATAATATATACGGTCACTTGTATTATAAATTCGAAACAAAACTATTTATTGCAATATATTAACTTTACGAACGTTTAAAACTAACAAATAATTTAATTATGTTATGACAATTATTATTCATTTAATTGTTTTTTTTTATTTTTTCAGAGCAAATTTAGCTACAAATCCTGGTTTCCAGTCAACATTGAGTCTGGGATCAAAGGAAATCATCAATGAAAAGGAATATAAACCGTTCGAGCATAGAAATGTGGCACATCCGAATTCGTAAGTAAATCTCGTATGGATGAACATGACGCCTGAGGGCCTATTCTGCTTGTCCTAGAAAGAAAATTCGGAAAATTTTTAAAATTTTCTTACAATTTCATAAAAATCATATTCGTGACGATTGTCTGTGCATCAGAGACATTGTCAGGTCCTACTTAGCATTTTGAAAATAAACAATATATCTTGTGAACAAATTTAACAATTTGAAATAAACCGACTTGTTGTTTACTTTTGAAAGTATCGTATATAAAGGTGTACATCTTCAAAATATCGATAAAAGTTGCATGGAGGAGGCCCAGCGTTAAAATTCCGTAAATTATAATGTTTCGTTAAAGAAATCGCTGAAAGGATTCCTCTCATAACCGGAACCGGAAAAATGAGTAATGAAAACAAAATGAAAGGTGGCGATATTTCTGATATGTCAAAGGGACAAATACATGCCTGACTTTTCTCAAAAGATATTTATTTCAATTACTTTCTATTTTATATTTATTTATTTTTTCTATTGTTCATTAAAAAGAACCTCTTTTTAATAAAAGATCTACCTATGATAACGGCTACGTCCATAAGAACAGCAGTCGGTCCCCAGGTCTTACTCTTAAAACCAATTTTCAATATATCGCGAACTTCAACATGCTCTGTCACACTCGTCTATTTGAAAAATACACAAATAAAAGCGCTACACGAAACAGTCTACGAAATATCTTTAAAGAAAAATGGCTAAAAATCCACCAGTTCTAATTACACCGAAATAGGACATAGGACTAGTGGATTTTTTAACGATTTTTCATTAAAGATAATTAGCATTCGAATGCAAAATTGATAAGATATAATAATCAGTCTACGAAATTGAAAAAATCTATGTAATCCTTGAGGTTTCGCAAAAATATCTAAGAGCCACGCGATGCTTGCGTATATCTCTTTCTCTTTCTTACTATATTGTAATAGTCGAAACCAAAAAGTTTAATTACTTAAATTTAAAATACCAATATTAAATGACAATAAAATTCTATAAGTAACATCAATTTTATAATATATGATTACGTTTTTTTGTAATTGAAACGATAAAATGTCAAAACAGACACGCTCTATGGGTATGTTTATAAACGCAGTTGACATTTACAAGCAACGATCCGGTACAAAGACCGTGCTATGTCAGGGCTGCATAATTGCACGGCTTTTGTAACTGCAACCTTCAAGCGTTTGTAATTCCCATAATACATGACTTTTATAACGTTGGTTTTAATTTTATTCGAATTAGTTAAACATGATAGCTTTAAAATAGTTATTTTCTGCACACAGTACTTCATAATATATATTTCCACAACTCGTTTGTTCGCTATTTACTATTGATAAAGTTTTATAAAATTTTTAGCTATTGAAAAACCAGCTCAAGAGAATTACAAAAAGGAGCTTATAAATGACAGTGCCTTGTATTACAGAGTCTCCAATCTCATTCAAAGGTATCTTATTAACATCGGCTTGTTAGACTAGAAACTACCTAAAATACTTATTTACTTATCCTTTACAGAACAGGCTCTAAATTAACTAGTTTACATTGACTGATATAATAAATAGGCTTAGGCAAACTTCTTACAATTTTCCTATACTACCTATAGTTCTTGTAAACAAGATTTCTGAACTTTATAATTCATGGTATAAAATTTTACGTGTAGTAATAATAGCGCACTATTGACATTTCGGGTACTTTAAATCATAATCCGACCAATGAACTTAAAAAACACCTCAGGCAAAAGTTTTATTTAAAAAGCGCTCTTGAATATTCGATATTCGAATGTACAGACAAAATAACATTGTAACGAGGTACACGGATTTCAGTAATAAGCTTCATTATGCTTAAAATGTTCATTAAACTTCGATTTTCTCGGTCAGATTTGGAGCTAGAAAGTTGAAAATTCAACTGGCGTTATCTAGTTTAAAGGGAACTTCAATAAGCGACGGTTATTTGTAAGACTGGTTATCAACAATTTCCAGATAACTTTATTGAAAATTGTTTTAATTATTTATTCTAGTAAACACATTAATTAGTTATCAAAACAGTTTTTGGAAATAATAATTTTCAAACTTCTATGTAGAATATATTTAATATTTTATTATCAATACTTTAGTAGAATTGAGAACTTCTTTGTTCTAAAAATATAGACGAAATAATTTTTTTTTAACTGTAAGTAACATTATGTCCTAATTAATATTTTCTACAAAATTCCTACTACACTCTATAATTGGTAAATAGTCCGAATACCATTGATAATTATGTAAAAAATTAAGATCGATGCTCCATCCAACGAAGAGTAAATTTCCAGGACTATTGGTTCTCTGGTGCACCTGCTGAAGTCGTCACTGGGGTCAGGAATCTTAGCGATGCCGGCAGCCTTCAAGAATGCGGGCTTAGCGTTCGGAGCGATCGGCACCATCATCGTCGGATTTATATGCACCCATTGCGTTTACGTACTGGTAAGATAATAACAGTAAAAGGGAAATTATTTAAACGGTAAAGATTTGTAAATTGTAGCTTTTGGTTTTTTTAATTTTGTCGACCCCAGCCTTATGTTGTTGTAACTTTACTACAGCTATATTTATTTGTAATGTCCTCTAACTTTTAAATGTTCTTCTCCATATTCAACAGTTATCTGTGCGTCTTATGTATACTCGGAAGTCAATTATGTATATATGATTTCAGTTTTATTTGCAAATTCACATGTTATGACAAACTTAATTGAATTCCATAATCATATTGTATCACTGATTCTACTATTGATCTATTGACAAATTAATTGATAATCCTATAATTAGATATAAGCTACAGTGTTATGTACGTCATTTCAATTAGTATCGTTTTAATGAAAATCCCCAAGCTGTTAACAAATAAATTGATCATTAAGCCTTTCAATTGCTATGATAAAAAGATATTTATAAGTATAATTTTTCATCATATAAGTATATCATATTCTTAAGAACGTTCAAACTGCAGTTTTAGAGGTTAAAACTAACAATTGCAACTTGTACAGACCAATCATAGGATGGGAACCAGGATTTGATATCTCATGTGTACATGGTATAATTTTTATCCCAGGAATTATCCTGAACTTTGTATGAAATATAAAATGATTTCTCAAGATCAAACAGTGGTCACTTGATATTATAAATTTAAAACACTAATTGCTGTACTGATAGATTATACTAATTTAGATAATGTTAAAGTAATATACGAGTATGTGTACCTAATTTCCATCTTATTGGTAATTTTTAACGCCATAATTACCTCTTGTTTTAGGTGAAAACGTCTCAAGAAGTATGTGTTGACGCAAAGAAACCATCGATGGGATTCGCCGAGACGTGCGGCGCGGCTTTCGAGTTTGGACCTAAGAGGCTCAGGCCTTGGGCTAACTTTGCAAGGTAAGCCCAATATGGTGACAATTACGTATTAGAAGCTTTCTATTGTCATAATAGAATATTATAAATTATCATCAGCCGGAAGACGTCCACTGCTGAACTTAGGCCTCCCCCTTTGAACGCCACGACGGACGACATTGCGCCAGCTGCATCCAGTCGCCGCCCGCGACTCGGACGATGTCGTCCGTCCATCTAGTCGGTCGACCCCCGATATTATAAATATACAGTCCTAAATAACGTGGATCATAAAACTAAAACTTTTTGAATATACTTGACGCTAGAAATATTTTTTTATGTTACCTGTTATATGAAGAAAGGCAACGACCTATTTCCGTGATATAACAATCACCAAAATAATCTAACTCACAATATTATATTCATTGTCAACACATCAGTCATAAATAACAAACTATAAAAAGTATTCTATTCTATTAATTTCCCGACGTGGAAGGGAAGATGTGGCGATGTCGAGTTAAAAGTAAAACCATAATATTAAGTCTACAATCCCTTGAATTAGAAACTAATAAACATCCCCAAAGTAAATAGTTAAAGAACTTCTTTTATGGAATTTGAAAACAACGAAAGTATCACAACCCTCAGACACGAGATAACACAGAAAAGTCTAATTCCTATATTGCACTTTGAAACCCGCGCGCCAGCCACTTGGCTACGGAGATCGACAACAAATGAATCTAACTCCCGTCCTCGGTGTGTCCCGCATGCAGTATATGAAGTCTTCGATCCTCTACTTATGCCTGTTCTTTATTCTCATACTTTCAGATAAATTTATTCTAGTCACTTTGTTTCGTTTTATATTTTTTGCTATTTGTTCCAGAACGTTCACCGATTACGCATTGACCTGTACATATTTGGCTGCCTTATGTGTTTACATTGTTTTCATCGCTGAAAACTTTAAAGAGGTTAGTATTTATAAAAAGAAATCATCACGAATTAACTTCATTATTTTCCATGGTCGCATATAGTGTGTTATTGTAAAATATCAATATTGATTTATGTCAATATTATAATTTTTCATAATTCTCATCCAATCTAGTACAATGCCTGCTTTTGGTAATTATTATCGTACAAGTAGCCAGTTTTTTCGTTAAACTAGTTAACCAGTTTAATTTGTTAGGTCAATGTTATTAAAGCGTAAACCCTTTAGTGTTCAATAGGACTTCATTTCTATTTAAACATTAAGATCTGGGCTCTCTATAAATCTGATTCAATAAATTTAAATGGAAGCTTTAGTGTAATTAACGCACATCGCTATAATTAATGAGTGTTATGACAAATTCAATTTTGGTTTGAAAATTATTGCCATTATTCATCAAAAATATTTGTAAGCAACATTTACGTGAATCAAAACACTATGATTCAAAATAACATTACAAATGTTAGTACTTAATTAAAATAGAACTAACGTAAGAATTATCTTGTAAAGTGTTTATTAAGATACCAACAAAGTTTTTCATTGTGTTTCTCAGGTATTAGACGAATACTGGCCAGAATACAAATTGTCAGTTGAAACTTACTGTGCACTAACACTGGTTCCACTCGTCCTGATCTGTCAGATAAGGAATCTCAAGTGGTTGGTGCCGTTCTCTGCCATCGCCAACGTTCTACTAGTCATATGCTTCGGTATCACCATGTACTACATCTTTAGTGATCTGCCAAATCCCGCAGAGAGAGAAATGGTCGCTAAAGTAACGCAGTGGCCTCTATTTATGAGGTATAAGTTAAAAATATATTTTATTCTCCTGAATATAAATGCAAAACATTTCACTACTATCCCGATTTGACAAGTATTATTAAAGTTGATACGCGCAAGCTAGGAGAAAAGAACTTTAAAACATCCCTTGAAGTTAAAACTAAAAACTTTGAAATGACCTGATACAAACATATTGAAAATGTAACTAATGTTTCCACCCTTTCTCAATTGCAGCACAGTTATCTTTGCAATGGAAGGCATCGGTGTTGTGATGCCTGTTGAAAATGAGATGGCAAAACCGCAGCACTTCCTCGGATGTCCTGGCGTTTTGAACGTTGCAATGACAATAGTGATCTCTTTGTATGGACTTGTAGGATTCTTTGGTTACATGAAATATGGAGATGATGTTAGAGGCAGTGTTACTTTGAATTTGCCTCAGGATGAAGTGTAAGTTATCATCACAAAAATTGATATAAGGTACTTGCACCAATGACCGAATGTGTAAACTCAATTTATTTACGTTTTTCAGTCTTGCCCAGAGCGCGAAAATTCTTATGGCCCTCGCTATACTTTTCACGTACAGTCTACAGTTCTATGTCCCCATGGAGATGATCTGGAGAAAGTTGGAGAACAGAATCTCTGTGCGTTACCATGATTTGACCCAGATTACTATTAGGACGCTAGCTGTCGTCGGTTCAGGTGAGTTCTTAAATATACATAATATATTTAATTACACGTAAATATAAATAAATTGGGTAACAGTTTTATAAAAAAAACCTCACACTTACTTCCATCTTTTAATCATAATAATATCTATATAATCATTCTTCACTCATTCCAGTTGCCCTCGCCGCCGCTTTTCCAGACTTAGAATTATTCATAGGCTTGAGTGGAGCAATTTTCCTATCCACCCTCGGCCTACTAACTCCAGCCATCGTTGATACCGTCCATAACTGGGACCGAGGTCTCGGCTTCCTCTACTGGAAACTCTGGAAGAATCTCTTCATTGGTATCATGTCCCTTATTGCTCTCTTCGCCGGTTCTTATGTCTCCATCAAAGGAATGGTTGAGAAGTTTGGTGAGATTCATGTTGAAATAGCTAACAATACATTAAGTACAATGAACGATACGATTGTTTAATTTTCCAGTGATTTCGTCAGATATCCGCCTCGCTTTGGTTGTGTTAAAAAGTTAGCGTATTGTTTTTTTTAATAATGAATATTTTAATATTGTAAAGGTACAACCATTTAAATTGTAAATAAGCATTTTTTACGATGTATATAATTTAGGGATACTAAATTTTAATTTTGACAGTACATAGAATTTTAAAGCTTGGCAGATTACTTATAATAATATAAGTTTTATGTTATTTTGAATATTAGGTTTGTAGTATTTGAAATATTACAAAATACTAAATTTAGTTTTTTTAATATAAATATAATAGTCTTAATATAAGTTAAGTAAATACATTAGATTTTTATTCGAAACGAAATTTGCCTATTTATAAGTTTTGAGTCTATTGTAAAAACTGTTAGTATATTTTGATAGAAAAAATATATATATCTTTTTTTCCTTTGAGATGTGAATTATGTTTGTGAAAAATATGAAATTAAGTATAACACAGAAAAAATCGAATTACTCACTTAATAACTAATATTTAGTATGGTGTTCTTTGTGTTTAATAAGAAGTTTGAAATAGTTACCATTTTGTATAAAATAGTTCTAACAATAGAAAGGTTTTTTGAATAGAAAATATCGGATTATTTACTCTACTGACGCAATTTTAAACTACAAACTGTTTCATTATATTGTAAGACTCAAATAAAAAAAATGGTTTGTGCTCTATCCAAACAGTTCATTTTCAAGTTCAAATCAAGCGAATTTATAACTCAACTAGCTCTTGCTCGCGACTTTGTCCGCATGGTATAGTGACTGTGGGCAGCATTTCTAAAAACGCTAAAACTAATATTATTCATACCTGTATATAAGGTTTTATGATTATGTCTTTGACAATGATGAACTTCCATACAAACTTTTAAGCCTGCTTTTGTTGTCACAATAAAAAGCAACGGATGCCCCATCTCAAGTTAACTATTTTAGCGGGTTAGACGTGAGAGCTTAACAGACATATATACACAACCTACATACCTACTTTCGCTATATGATATTAGTATGAAACGATTGAAGATTTATTATATCATATAATAACAAATTACCTGACAGTTACTAAAAGAAATAGACTAAGAACAATAAAAATCGCAATTTGGTCGACTTTTATACTCAAATTATTTATTGGCCATAAAAATGGAAAGAAGTAGTCTTTTAAAATTCAAATTTAATACTGGGATGATAAGATAGTGTTAATAAATTATATTTATTAATTATATCATGAATTGTATTAAATTACATTATAACAAATTAAATTATAATAAAAAAATAAACTCATCCTTGACTAAAAAAGTGCGATTTAGTAATATACTTAACGCCATCTGGTATATCACAAAATATATAGTTTGTGTATTCTCTCGTATATAAATCGATTAGTGCTTGAATATTTTCAAAAAAAAATTTAAGCTATTTTTTGTTATCAATTATGTACTCAAATATAAAAGTATAATAGGTCCAAAAACAAAGAAGTTGCATACAAACTTTTCGCCCTGTATGCCACCACCTTCGGGGAGGAATTTACAAAAATCCGTTCATAGTACACCTCCAAATTTCCAACCTCTACGACCAGCGGTTAAGGCTGTGCGTTGTCTGTCAGATATGCAGTGTCTTACGCATTAAGAGTTGGCGTAAAGGAATAGATTATCTTTATTCTCATTTCGCTCGGCAAATAATTGAGCCTAAGTGCACTAACTTGTTTTTGTGTTTTATCTAAACCGTTCATTTTGTTCAGAAACAAGCCAATTAAATAAAGCATTCGTATTTATGTTAATACGAAAAATCAAAGCTTGTGATTGGACAAATTGAGCTATTTTGTAGTAAGTGATTGAAGCGTTTTCGACTGAACATTATTCAGCTGCCATTAACAAAGGCAACTTAGGTCATGAATAAATATAAGGAAAACTGTGAGTATCGTATTATATTTACATGGTATTTATTAGTTACCATCAGAAACATTGATTCAAATGTTAAAAGACAGAACAAACCAACGGTAGAATATAAAATAGGAATTGCAAATCCCATATTATATGTATGTTTGAAATGCATTTCTATTTCTCATTAAATTTCCGAATATGAAAGTAAAGTTTTTTTCTTTTTGTTTACTATTATAAACTATTTTACTTTCTTTAAATTAACTTTTTATATGTTTTAAGTGCAAGGAATGAGCTAAAATAATGTGACTATTCACTTAAATCAATAGTATATTGTTCCATTCTGTTACTTTTATTGTATATTTTCATATCAACTAATAATGACCTTTTTCAGAATTGTTTTCTGTGTGTTGTGATAATAACGATTCCGAATAATGCCATGCTAATAGTATTTAAGAGTACAATTAAATATGAATGATTTATAATAACTGAAATGTGATATTAATATTTTAGATATATGAAAAGGAAATTATACATCATTGTGAATAAAGTTCTTTTTTTTTGATAATTTGTGATTTATTTTACTACTTACTCCACTTTTAATACTTAAAAAATCATTTTCTACCCATTATTATAATTTATTTACTTGAAAACACATACTAATGAACTGCCCCTCATTTCTTTGGTATACTCATTATTATCTTTGCCTACACTTGAAAAGATTCTAACGAGGCGTTTTCACTTCTCTTTCTTTATTTACATTCCGAAATAAGGAACAAAAAATAAACTTCAACACGAAAACCTTTTAAACTTCCTTATTCGCATTCTTATTAATTATTATATTTGAACAATTTTGCTTTCACAACGCTACACTGGAAAATATTCTTAATGAAAAATGTTTAATAATCCACTCTGTCCCCGATCCCATCTCTGAGTATCAGGGACAAAGTAGATTTTTAAGAATTTTATTATTTATTTATGCTAAAACTAACAAGGAAACATAAATGAAACAACTTTTTAATGGTTTCATCGTGTTTGTAATTCGTAGAATTGGGGACAAGCATAGAAACTCAACCTGAAAGAGAAAGAGGGAGAGGAAGGTATACAATTTAAGATCTAAGGAAGTGAAAAGGCTTATAGCGAGGAAAAGGAACAGGCTGAACGAAGACAGGCAGAGGTGGCACGTTGATGAACCGTGCCCAATCGTACATCGTGAGGAGTGCCTGAGTCGATAAATACTAATATCCATAGGTCGCTGGTTCAATCAGGCTCGAAGGACCACTGTTTGGGGATGAGCAGACTCAATATTGTAGGGTAGTACAAAGTTAAAATCATATTTGTATTAAAGTCAATATAATTAATTATGTATCAAATGTTGGTAATGTTAACTAAGCCTATTTTTTATTAATTTAAAAAACGTTAATTATAAACGAGATAAAGAAAATTCGACTGGTAACGGGAATCGAAATGTACTACTGAAAAAATAAATGTAACTAAAAGACTGGCGGTGACCTATTTTCTGCCTTAAGCCACGCTTATATTCCTAAACTATTCGGTCATTAACTAGAGTAGTAGTTTTAAGTATAATTACAACCAAACAAAATATCCAATCTTTCTTTTTTAATAATAAATATTATTCTTAATACAAAATACTTAAAAAATCCACTTAGTCTCTGGCACTCTGAGATGGGAACCGAACCCACGACCATTCACAATCCGGGCGACTGCTCTAACCACTGAGCTACCCAGGACCTAACAGAACTGACGAATCTTTCAAGCACTTGTTACTTTTCGCTACTACAGAGCGTAATTCTCATCAATGTTCATCCACCTCATCAATAATTTTCAGTATGGCATTGTGAATGTAAAATTAATCAAAATATAATAAATATTACATATTTCGACAGTTTCGAAACCGGCATTCATTCAGGAACTAAAAAATATCCTATAAATAATTATTCATAAATTGTAGTTTCATCTTATATATTCAAGCAGATTTTGGCTTTATCTATACAAGTAAGTTTTATAGATCGCACATAGATCGATATCTCAAATCAAATCATTAATTTGCAAATACAGGTAATACATAGAGATGATACACAATTAATGTCAAACTTTTCCGTATTTCGCCACTTGGAATGCAAAATTATTATTTCAATTAGGTATAATAAAAAAAGTCAATTACAACAAATCATTAAAAAACTATTATAATATTCATTTGTAAATTGAAATATATTAAATGATTAAAAAATACAATAAAATATATACGTTTTTTCTTTTATTATTTAAATATGTGTAATTGTTTGATTAACATAGTGGTAACATTGGTTTGTGTCCTTATCATAGTTTGTATCTATATGTGTGAGTCTATAATTGGTTCTCTGTTTCTTATTATTGTTTTTTATTTAATTTTATACAACTGTTGATTCGCCTTTGAAAATAACCGTAAAGACAAACGTATATCACCCTTTCGTATATTTTGTATATAATGGATTATAGCGCAAAATCTACTTCCCTTTTCCATTTTTTTAAATTTCTACATTATCCTTTCGGAGTCGGCGTAATAAAATATCAGTGGAAATGCACCGTTCGTTTGATGTAGAAATTCTTTAAAATTTTTCAAAATTCGATATTATGTATTATTTGTTCAGTCTAGGGCTGTAAGCTGTTACCAGCACTTGTGATAATCTTAAAAAAATCCAAACGTTCGCAAGTTCATAACGGGATACCTTGTACTGATAAAAATAAGCAAAAAAACTCAGCAAGGGCTGCTTTAGACTAATATAGAAAGGATGTGGCACAATAGTCTCACTTTGCGCAGCAATCAAAGGGCAGAGCTCATTATTGTGAATGTTATTTACCTTTTATTGCCTGATATTGAAAATTTATAATCTGAACGTTAGATTAACAAGAGCTGTAGAAGCGAGATTGCTTTTCTCAATTTGAATTATCATGAAAATTATTAATTTATTTTTAGTACTCGGTCCTCTCTGCCTCCCTAACAAAGATACTGCTTTAAAGTACCCAGTGTCAAAGTAGTAAAAGAGTCTTGATAATACTCAATAGCTGAATAATGATTACCCGGGTGACTCCTCGGCCTGAGACCTTTAATATCACAGAAATAAATGTTTATATAATTTCTAAGTTTAATATTATATCACAATACTATATTACCTACCCACATATAACTTTATAGTATATAATAGTTATTATGTAGCACTATTATATATTGTATACTATACGTTGACTTATTCAAGAAACTGCTATTGAACTTGGTCGCCTTCAGAAAACCTCCGCCCAACTAAAATGGCAGTTTCTTAAATGAGTCGCTTTTGTTATAAGTTTTATATATCACTTTTTTTAAAGTATGAGTTTTAAAGAAAAACTTATAAAGAAATTGAGCGTGAAAATTGCTTGTACAATCATCGTAATCCATGGAATATAAATAGCCTTTTCCTATTGCGTTACAAATGGTGTTAACTGAGTAAGGTTGTGCTTATTAAACGAAAACATCGAGCCATTAGCCGGGTCACTACGGGTAAAAGCAGTGAGTAACATAATTTTTAAATGATACGTACCTTGAAAACTAAATTGGAATCGATAATGCAAGTATTGAGGAACAGCATTAGTCAACTTGACATTGATATAGATACCTCTCACTTGGTGAACAAATACAGTTTGACACTAAGGGAGTTAATAAAGACCAATACGTAACTTCGGGTCGAAAGATACATAAGCTTCGGGTCGAAGTCAGATTCCCATAAACAAAAACTGATTCTGTAGGTTGATGATGACCAAAAAGTCTGTATATGCAGTTGTTATCTCTTTTTCGTTTGTTACTGAAACATTCAATACTATATTGTGTAAGTTGTTTAACCAACTAATATTTAAATATAAATACCGGTCTTTACACATTTTAAAATTATGTGTATTCATTAAATTGGTAAGTATTAGAGATAAGATTTTTAAAGTGATGAGGTATC